CGCAACCGTTTCCACACACTGCTCGTTCGAAAACACGAGCCAACCGCAACCTATTTGTTGCCGACTTGTTGACGACGCTCGACCTCGCTGCTTGTTACACTTGTGTACGTGTGTCCGTCACACTTACACTCTTCGCTGTTTCTGATACGTTATTGCGGCGCAACTATTTTCGCTGTATGCCTAGTTTGCCGACCAACTCCAACTTGGTTGTTGAACACGTACCGTAACGTCGCTGCTTGCTATACTTCTGCACTTCTAGAAACTTAAGTGTACTAAACTGTACATCACCTGTATTTTATGCACCTCCAAAAACCGCTTCTTTCTTCTCTACTGCACAGTCTACCAAATGGTGCTGCCTTCGAGTTTGCTTTTGCAGTGCACTATATGGCCAATAAAATCGGTTGAGTTAAGCTCCCAATTTGTAGGATATAGCAAATTGGGCCGGTTGAGCCCCCAATTTGTAGGAACTCGGGCTGAGTTCCCAAAGACAGGATATAGCGTACGGCCAACCAATATACAGGAAAACGTGGACGGCTTGCTAAGTCCGACTTGGTGGAACGAATGATCCACCAATGCGCAGAAATAAAAGACTGGACCAACTTCACTTCACAATTGATCAATGCTTTAATTTATTCAAGAACTGGTGCTTTTAATAAAACTGTACAATAAGTTAGTTAATACAACTTCACAATAGATAGATGCATTTTCTAACTTTATAGGTCGCCGTCCGCTTTCAAGTGAAGTCCGTTATTGGTTTTATTCCTTTCGAGTCCCCTTTTCGTTCAGTTAGTGTTGTCGTGCATCAAAACGTTCAGTCCGCACGGTCGCATTTCTTCGTCCTACATTTATTTTGCCAAAATATGTTCGCACAGTTCAATGAAATTTCATTTCACACTAATTTCAAGTCAAGTCAAGTCAAGTAATTATAGCGCTACTCTTCTGGCATCCCGCCTTTTTCACTAACTGCTGGTTGACGTCACCATGATTGTGTTTTGTTGCCAGCTCAGAAAACAGATCAGGGTGCCAGCTGACAAGTGAGAGAGCAAGAAAAGAGATTCTAATCAAGTTATCTATGCTTGAGCGACGGATTAGGTTGAGTGAAACAGCAATAGTTAATACGCGAGAGAAGGACTACGAAATCGTGAACTACAACAGGATCATGTGCTGAACATAATGGCAGCGACAGACTGCAGCAGTATAACAGTGAACAGAAAATGGCGTTGTGAATCCTACTACACGAACATTTGTGAGAAGGCAGCAAAATAACAATGGCCACCCTGTACAAAAGACAACACAGCTGTCCATTTTGCATGTACAGAATTTTCGTTCAGTTCAATGAAATTTTAATATTTTTCTCAAAGTGAAATTTTTTATGTAAATAATAAGAAAATAGGTAAATTTATTTGCTTTAAATTATCAATTGTTATTACAAATGAAATAATAGAGCATTTTGTGTTTTTATTTGCAAAATAACGTCAGGTTTGTTAGAGCTTTGAATAAGTTTGCATTTTACATATTAGTGTCATCACCACTCTACCTCATCTCTCTACTGCCAACTCTAGTGTCGTTGGCAAATTTAAAAATATATTGAAGTAAGCGCGGGCGACAACTGTCGGCCTGCAGTCGTGTGGTCGTGCTGTTGTCCAAATAACTGTGTGCATAGGAACGTGGGTTTTTTAATATTTGACTGATGTTGCTTGCAATTTTTTTTTTTGTGCCGGAGGGGGAATCTTACATAGACACTACTACTGTGCTGTAGCAATATGCACGATTCGTACTACCCGCTATAGGTACGCCTCATTCGGGACCACGCACAGTCAGTATTACCTACTGTTCCGGACATGCGAAGCGGAACGCCTACGTACTAAACCCTAACCCCGTCTTCTGTAGCTTTACTGAGGCCCTGTGGGACCGCCGTTAGGCATTTCATCTAAGGGAAGCTTAGCCTGTAGGCTCACATCATTAGAGCGATATTCGCTGCTCTAGATTCTCTCCTTTTTCTCTGTTCTGCTCTTCGCAGGTCATGGAGTACCATGGCTGCCATCTTCTCCATTATATTCCACACATTTTTCGAGTGTAACATATAGGTCACTATATGTTCTGGTGTTATTCGGTTGCATACTTCCTTTTCCAGAGATTGACGCTCATTTGTATATTTCCGACAGTGCAAAAATATGTGTTCTGCGTTCTCGTTACTGCTACCACAGAAAGAGCACGCTACTCCCTCCTCGTGACCGTACTTATGCAAGTACTCCTTGAAGCATCCATGTCCTGTTAGGAACTGCGTCATGTAATGATCTACCTCCCCGTGTTTTCGTTCCATCCATGCTTGTATGTAACCGATTAAGCGGTATGTCCATCTCCCCTTGCTCGATGAATCCCAGCGCGTTTGCCATTCGTTTAAGCTGGCTTGTCTTTCTACTCTACGYTCTGCCACCGTTAGTTTTCGGCCTGCGCTTCTACTTTTATCATATCTTCGCTTAAGTTCGAGAGCCATTATGTCTGGAGGCATAATTCCTGCTAGAACCCYGACAGCTTCATTARAYACCGTGCGAAATGCACTGACTATTCTGGTGGCGCTCAGCCTGAATACCGATTGTGCCACTCCAACATATGTCTTATGTATTAATGCTGGTCCCCATACAGGCGCCGTATACATTATAATTGACTGGCTTACCTTGGAAAGAAGAGCTCTCCTGCTYTGTTTCGGCCTTCCTATGTTTGCCATTATTCTTGATAAGGCCATGTTTACACGCGCCACTTTTTCACACGCTTTTTCAACATGCATTTTGAAGTTGAGCCTCGCATTAATCGTTACACCTAGGTATTTCACAGCGGGTTGTGTTGTAATGTTGTTCCCGTCTATGTTAAGCGAAATGGTTTCCAGTTTTTTCCTGCTAGTTATAAGCACTGCTTCCGTTTTGTGTCCGGCMAGTTCGAGTTTTGCACTCGTTAGCCACTGCTTTATCTTCAGCACCGTATCACTACAAATACTTTGTATCTGGTGGAGCTCCTTAGCTACTATTGTCACAGCAATATCATCTGCRTATCCAATTATTTGTACTTCTTTTGGCAGAGGGAGGCGCAATATTCCATCATATAGCGTATTCCAAAGGAGTGGGCCTAACACAGATCCTTGTGCACACCACCCGTTACCCTATACTTTTTTGGTCCTTCGTCCGTGCCGTAGAGCAGGATCCTATCGGCCAAATAGCTTTGGATGATGCACAACAGATAGCTCGGTGTTTTTTTGAGCACTAATGCACGAATTATATGGGGCCAATGGGCCGAGTTAAATGCGTKTCTCACATCAAATGTGACGACCGCACTATATTCTTTTTTCCCATACATCTACCTGCTCCTTCAATAGCCTTTTCTGCTATACCAGTGACTTTCTTGATCGCATCAAGAGTTGAACGCTTTCTACGAAAGCCATATTGGGTATCAGCGAGTCCACCATCTCCTTCTAAATGATTTTCTAGASGGGCACAGATTATCCGCTCCAGGATTTTGCCCATSGTATCGATCATACAGAGCGGTCGATAGGAGCTTGGTTCTCCTGCCGGCTTGTTTGGCTTCTGTAGGAGTACCAGCCGTTGTACTTTCCAAATTTTTGGAAACACTCCTTCGCGAAGGCAACGTGTGTACAAATCTGAAAATAGCTGCGGATGATAGCCGATCGCAATTTTAAGAGCCCTATTCGGAATACCATCTAATCCTGGTGCTTTGCTATTTTCAAAGCGCTCAGCAGCTTGAACAAGTTCCTGCTCGGTGATTTCTGGAGCATCAACAACTTCCCCGCGATAAAAATTTCCTTCTATTTGGTTTTGTTGAGGGAATAGGGTTTCCACAACATTTTTGAGTAATGAAGGGCATGTAGGCGCTTGACATTTGCCACCTTTAATCCTTGACATTACGATCCTATAAGCTGCTCCCCACGGATTTTCGTCCACCTTTTCGCATAATTCTTTGAATCATGTCATTTTGCTCTTTTTAATTACCTTTTTTATGTCGTTGCGTTTCTTTTTGAATGCTTCTSGCAGGCTGTCACAATCTAAGCTGCCTACACTCCGTTGGAAACGGCGCCTCGCTTTGTGACTATCACTTCTCAGAGATTCGATTTCTCGATTCCACCAGTAAGCAGGCTTTCTCTTTGCGGCTGTCCTCTTTTGGTTCATAGCGACATCACAGGCTTTGCTAATGTGTTGTACCAACAATTTATCCTGTTGTTCTATGTCATCACTTCCGTTTATATTTCCATCCAGCATTAACTTATAAAGCTCCTCCCTCATCTAGGGCTTCAATCCTCCACCCCTTGGACTGCACCTTTTGGTGGCACACATTTCGCTGCTGCATACCCTTGTCTATACTTAACATTATAGCCAAATGGTCGCTTTGGGTATATATGTCACATATCCGCCAGTCAATGTATCGATATAGCACCCTGCTGGCAAAAGATATATCGATAATTGAGCCACGTCCATTCTTCTCGAAGGTGTTTTGTCTTCCTGTATTAAGCAGTACTACGTCTAGAACAGCAAATTCTTTAAGTAATGCGCTACCTTTCCAATTTGTATTTTTGCTGCCCCATTCTAGCGCCCAGGCATTAAAGTCGCCTGCAATAATATTGGGTGTAGTTGTCATCGCATCCTTTACCAAGTCGTCAAGTATTTTTTCATATTCAGCATGTGGTATACTTGGCGGTACATAGCAGCTGTAGAAATAAATCCGTCATATTTTGGCTCTTGTATAGTACGTCTTGTCAGTTAATGGTTTGTCTTGCATCATCTTATCTCCGCAAGCCCATATTGCAATCTTTTTTGTGGTGTCGGAAATCCTCTTGTCAGAGTCTTTATTCTTATACTGTTCACAGATTAATGCAACGTCTATATTATTCTCGTATATGTTTTGCGTCAAGAGATCCTGGGCCGCTTCGCAGTGGTTCAGKTTAATTTGTAGTATTTTCACCTTCTTGGTTTTTTGAGTGCTGCTGTATATATGGGGCACTTCTGGCTTCCTATCTGTTGGTCTATATTTGTTCTCCCACTGTGTTTACATGGCTTGCAGGAAGGATAGTTAACACAGTCTTTAGCGAAATGACCCTCCTCTCCGCATTTTATACAGCACTTGCTCATGTCTTCTGGATTGCTGCATGCTTTTGCCACATGTCCATACTCTAGACATCTAAAGCATTTCTTCAGTTGCTCTTTTTCCCGGATTCTGCAGATTKTCCAGCCGATTTTGATCTTTTGCGCTGCTAGTAGATGATTTGCTTCCTGCGCATGAAGACTTATGGTTGCTTTTTGAGTGCCTGCATATGCTGGTCTGATGCTTTTAATACACTGTTCACTAAATAGCCGAAGCTCTTCAAATTCTGTACGAATTGCTTGTGCAATATCCTCTTTCGTCGTTATATCGTCTAGGTCACGCACTTCAACTGTAGTTTCTTGCGTTAGAGATCTTATTTGTGCCTGATCTCCTAGTATCTTCACTATATCCTCTTTATATTCTTTGGTACTTCCTGTCTGCGCTTTCTTTAGCTCTAACAGTATCTCTCCTTTAGCTGTTTTTTTTTTATTCTTGAGACATTTTCGCCAAGCACTTGCAGTTTTTCATTCTGCTTAACCGCCCGAAGTATGTCTGCGTAAGACATGTCTCCGGTTTTATTTTTTTTTGGGCTTTACTTGGTATCATGATCCAAGTATCTTCCCTTGTGGTGTCTTTTTCTCCTCCCCCGAGATTTCTGCTTTCTCCTGTTTTCACAATTAGTCCGTCAAGAGTTGTTTTAGCCTTTTTTGGGGGGGTTCGTCGTTTTATCTGCTTGTCATCAMGTCTTTTCGAAGTGACTTCAGCCGTCGTCTGTTCGATAGCTACGCTTCTATCTATGTTAGCTTCTCGTTGCCTAATATGGTCTTCTTGTGCACGGGTGTAGAGCTTCGATATTTCGCTAAGAAGTTCCCTCATGGTATTGTTGATAGAGCGCTGTGTCGGGCTCATCATATGCGTTAGCTTTTGTATCATATCTCCTAGTTTACACATATGATCACGTTGTGAATGTGCTTCTTTCAATTTTGGTGTGTTCTCCTGAAGCGTTGGAGGTAACGATTTCGACCTCACTGGTACTTGTGCGGAGAGCACCTTCACAGGCGATCTAGCCAGACGCGAAGCTTTTTTAAAGGGGTCTACTCCTGAAATCGTAAAACGACTGGTGACATTTATTGTCTCCATTTATCGGTTTAACCAGCGCATCGTGTGCAGGGGGGCGGGCCGAAATAGACAGGAACGGGTGTACCCTCGGGTTCTATGCCCCTACCCCAGTTCCCTGAGGCCTGTCCTATGCTTTGCGGGTTCCGGAAAACTCGGACGAACCGGCGCTCACCTGGAGCAACGCAGTCTACTAGTTCTGCGCCCAATGTACACTTCCTGACCAGGGCCCGAAGGGGCTGGTTACTGATTCACATCGTGGCTGACACTTCGGCAGAGCTGACTCACATCACCCTCTCCACCCCACCAGTGAAAACAGCTGGTGATGTTTCAAGGGACTCCCAGTACGCCCCGGTATGGACCGGTCTCCTCGGAATCCAAGATCATTCAGCATATTTTGAATAGAACGTGTAGTTATTTTTATCCCAGTGGTTTCGTCTATGATCTATAATTTGCTTTTATATCCTGAACATGGTATATTAAGTTTGCCACGAAATTTTTAACACCCAGAAGGAAGCGTCGGAGGCCCTACAACGTATATATATTGTATAAATGATCAATATGTTTAGCAGAGTCTGCCCGTATATATAAGTTAATATTTTTAAAATTAAAATCAAACTCTTCATCTAGAGAAGTTTCTTTATTGAATGCTCTGTCAGAACTGATCTTTTTTTTTCTTAACGATTCTTAACAATACCCTGATCTAGCTGTGGGTTTTCGGCAGCGACGTTGGTTTTGCTCGCGGAGGCAGCAGAACTGTGACATTTTTGAAATGTGTTATATTCCTAGGATTTCCTTGGGGTTGAAGTGGCAGGAGATCTTTATAATTTTAAGCGGCAGCAGTTCTTTATACTTTTAGTTCATGTTTTTCAGAATATTCTAGTGCAACAGCCACTTGGATATTGTGCAAATGTTAAACTTAGTTGTATTTTGAGGGGGAGGAGTTCCCCCTCAAATTCCTGCTTGTCCTCAAGTAGGCGTTAAAAGTCAGAAAAGTTATTAATATTTAGTTTTTTCTGAGTTTTTTGTTTGTTTGTAGTTACTTAATTAATTTGGCTTAAATTATATGTTTTATTATTTGGGATTATACTGCCGTTAAATAATTGTTAAGCTTTTATCTATTTCTTCTATTGTTGTAATTTGTCCTACCTTTCTGAAGTCACACAGCGAATCCTTTCCCTGAACTAGCTTTACAATATTTTTTTTCTCTTATATTATATATTTTTAGTTTAACAATTTTTTGGTACATTAAACTTTTCGTTTTTTGATACARAAATTTCGGTTGTTTCTAAATGAAATATTAATTTCTTTTCCAATAGGTTTTATTAAAAAAGTGTGATAGGTGGTTGGATCTAATTCCGGATTTTTTTTCGATAATAACCAGTTTTTTATTTCTTTATTAAACTTCACCGATTTCTATTCCATTTCAAAGAATGATATTTGTCGTGCTAAGCTTTTTAAATAGCTTTAAATAACATATTTTATATTTATTATTTATTCTTGCATTAATCTAAGTTGATTGTGTAGGCTTGWTGCTATTTAATTAGAGTTAAGAGATTTTTTTAAATTAATGATATTAAAGGAAGTTTTTTTATTTTTATTTTTTTTTTTAGACTGATGTGTCTCTCTTGGCAATTTTCGGACTTAAGTATTTTTTATATTGCTTTTGTGAACAATTCGGCCTGCTTCTGTAACGATTGTTGTATTTCTATTTTCTTTAACTATTTCTTTTTTATAACGTGGGGATAACTTAGAACGTAATCTTGTATTTTGTTTAACAAATATTTCTTGCCCATATGGCTTGATTTCATTACGTTCCTTGTTATGGGTCTTTAGGTTTTGTTGTTTTTCCTGTTTAAGTCTGCCGATATTGTTGTGTCTACTTTTCTCGTATTGTTCGGGATCGGTGGAAATATTTCTGCCAAATATTTCTTTTTTGATGGAGTCATGTGTAGAAGTTCAGGAGGATGGAGTCATGTGTAGAAGTTGACGCAAGTGAGGAAAGTTTTCTGATCGCCACTCACGTGGGAGTGGCACGAAACGATTCTTTTACATATGACTCAAGCAGCTCACGACTTCCGGTCCTTGACCAAGTATCCTCTGGGTAGCCTAAGAACATCCGTTTGAAGGTGAGMTAAAGTGAGTAGGCGAAACATTCCCTGCATAGGGTTGTGTGCTGGGTTTGGGACCCGCCACGTAAAAAACCACCCCAATGACAACTCAACAACAGCCTCGGCTGAGAGACCCCACTTTTGATGACGACTATGGCAAACGAAATAAGGACTACGAATTGAGGGCATGCACCTGGAATGTCCGGTCCCTTAATTGGGAAGGTGCCGCT